CGTCGCAATCCAAGGTCAAGGGTAAGGGAACGTTCGCCGTATGTAGCGATGCGGGTACCGTTGTCGGCTTGTAACGAGAAAGAAGCAGAATCGGGAAGTGGATTCTTATGTGGTAACACACTAACTTCACCTCCCGTATCTACGAGGAAACGTAGACCACTTGAACGATCGGTGATGTGGAACAGACGACTAGTGCAAGGAAGGCCACAGACAGTCGTCGCAGTTACTGACTGGCCGGGGTGTTTAAAGGGGTGTTGGAACGCGGCTTGAAGGAACAAGATAGTTGACACTTGCTTGCTTTTGGGCCATAAGATTGGTGATACCGGCACCAAGAGGGACGGGCACGAGATAACGATCTGAACCGTAAACGTGGTCGATGTCTGCTGATCTCTAACCGTTGTAGGCGATCGGTCAAAGCATCAAAATTGGCTTGTAGGTGCGATATAGAAGCAAGAAGCGGGTCGAAACCTGTGGTGGGAGAGAAGGAGGATGCTGGACAACGTAGGAAAAGCGGGTAACTTAGGAAGTGATGCGTCGGGTAGCAAAAACGGCCTCGACCTGGCGCAACCATACCCTGGGGTTGCGTGGATTGTAGTCTGGCAAACGTATGCTAATTNTCTTTAAAATAGTTCGTCGTTGGCCCAGGTCAGCAAATAAACAATAATCCAATTATGTTGGTCCAGAGGTCTTCTTCTGAACAGTTCCCACATATAATAGATTCCGAAGATGTCTGAAATATTTTGGTACCAGAGTTAGTACATGAGGCTCGCGAATGAGGCTACAAGCGCGAGCGAAAATCAGAAGAGGGAGAGAGTCGAAGCACGTGACCACGCTTGTACTATGTGAAAATTGTACAAGTGCGCGTTTTTGTAGTTTTTCGTATTCAAACAAAAAACGATTATGCAATTGATGAAATACGTAGTGTTATAATGGAAGTAAAACAAAGGTACACAACGCCACAACGGTCACACCAGTTTAGCTGCTCGTGGATTTGATAAATGGCCAAAGAAACCATGATTTGAAACCAGTTCCCGAGAATAACCGGCCAACTTGACGATTATTTCGGTCACTTCGTTCAATTCACTGGCATTTCATCCGCACTGAGCATTGTCTTGGATGCCTTCGGCGTACCTTTTCGAATCGCTCTGAAGCAACGGCACTCAGACATTTGAAATAATCTTTTCTTCTTTTCTGGACGCTTTCATCCACCGGAAAATCGTCGCCCCTTATTTGAAACATTCACTGGAGATTTGTTTTAGCATGCGGAATTTTAAGTGTGCGTTGGGGGTGATCATATCTGGCCTTTGTCGACAACGAGCTCTCTACTATCACCGGATGTAAGGCAAATTACTGTACACCAGGGGAATAGGACAAACTAAATTCAGCGGAGTTCCAAAAGGCGATTCACTCGAGTTGGGAACGCGATCCTTTGGAGGCATGCACATAAAAGGCATTCAATGCTATGCTGATGGTTCGAAGCAACTTCCTTCGTATTTCTGTGAACACCTCCAGATACTCCATTCAGCCCACCTAAGACCGCTTTTCGAATTTGCCTACCAAGTTGTCTGCTCAGGAAGCAAGAAAGACTCTACCCCGCCTTAAATTCGTTGATTATCAGGCGCGTCTTCTGGCGCTTGACTTCATTCTCCTGGGAGAGGATACCTAGTACCTACTTTTGCCTGGTTTGCACAAGTTTCGACAAAAGGTTTTTTAACCGTTGACCCAACCACTGCACGGTGGGGACACGAATAGAATATTTTCACAAATAGGGCTCTCAAATTTATCTGGCTACAAATTTTATCATTCCGGGTAGTTGATGCATAGAATATGCGTCCTCCGAAGGACCTTCTCGCTGCACCTAGAACCCGCCTCATAGCACTTTCAGAAAATTTTTGATGTGAGTCCTCGCGCTGGCTAGCTTATTGACCAGCGCCCGTAACCTAAATAGCAGTGCTACACTGTTTTTCCGTCTGTGCTTTTGGGGTGAACGGAAGCAGCTTAAGGAGAAGAACAAACGCGACCAGGGAATCTCTCGTAAGAGCCTCGCTCCCGTTTGTCAATCCGTGAAATCCGTGGCAGGTTTCGATAATTTTAATAATCACATGGGACCGGGAACCACTGAATGCTGTCCCATTTTGTTTGCCTTTACTCGCTCGAGAGAAAAATCGCACAGCTGAAAGCAACTTTTCACCAGCTGAGTATGATGTGTTAAGCTTATGAGAGCCATCCAACTACTTTTCACCTCCAGACTAACCTTGCAGGCCGGCTAGCTGAGATTGGACTGCAGTAGGGTGACCTTGAAAAGCGCCAATTCGCCGCACTATATGATATACACCGCGCGTTTTCGTGTACATGAGCTTAAAAGCAGCTGCGAAGCGTGTATGCGCTGTACGTAAACTCAGGCACCCAGTAACAAGGAGCGGACTTTCCAGCCTCGAGGCGAATATAATAAGTCACATTTTCCCTGGAACCTTATGAAACATGTGCAGGTGACAAGGCGGCATAATGACTTTCACTGGGCGTGCGCTGTGAAATTAACTGAAAATAACGGACAGCCGTTTTTTGTGCAATGCTTTCTGGCCCAACATACAGCACGGACTTTTTGACAAACAGGATAATGGGTGTTGAACCTCCTAGCAAAAAGCGGAAGTGGGAAGATAGTGATCATTATTTGGACAAGGAAACACATATAGACTTCCAGGGCAATTCGATCGGACGCTTTTTCGATAGCCCACAGATGAAGTCGACATCGTCAGGCTTTGTTAATGATTTAGTTGAACCCCACAGCTTTCTTGGATCTTCCCAAACATCGGAATCGTTGCTTTCGAGCAACTACGCTCGTGGTATGAATCCACTGGTTGGCTCGACATTTGGCTTCAGTGTGCCCGATACCGACAAATTTCCTATGGGCAACCGAGAAGAATTAACAACGCCGAATGGTTTGGCCGGCTATGATTCTTCGATACTTCTAGAAAACTCTTATGTGAGTACCTATTTACCTTTTCATGTTATTGGAATTTTATCTAACACATACGTATGCTGACTGTTGAGAACCTGTGCTCAGTTTTCATCACACACTTCACTCATGCTTGACAGCTGTCCGGCCAAATGATGTAACATTTTCCAGGGTATTTTAGAATGCACTTGGAAGCAGTGGTTGGTCATAAATGCTGTCTAAGACAGTCAGAGATGCTAGGCGCTCAAATATAATCAGTCTCAAAGCGACATGACGAACGTCAACAAATAAAATTGCACCTTTTTGTCTTTGCATATCGATTTATCTCTACCACTAAGAGTGAAATGCTCTGGAGTTGCATCTGTACTCAGAGGTAATGTGGACTCAAAATATTCAGAGAAAATAAAGAATATTTGACTCGCCCTTACTATTTTGCTGATCAACCTAGAAAATTTCTCACTTGTAGTTTAGGAGAGAAAATGTGTTTTTTACACATCTATTGTTGGAATCATTGGGTGCATCGGGATAAGTACTCTAAATGTGCTCTTTCTTGCAGTAAAACTTGACTAACAGCGTTTTTTGTCTTTTCTGTTTCCTCTTGGTCTTGTTCATTTCGATGAACATCTGGTAAAACTATTTACTTTGCAATATTTGTTACGCTACGTGCATTGGAATTAGAAGTTTTACCAGCCGTTATTGGTAATAGCTTGGTTGTAAATACATCCGCATGACTGACTTCCTATGTGGCTCGAATTGTACAAAAATATATAATCGTGTCATATGTAAAAATTTAAAAGCAGCAAGCATCGAAGCCAGCGGTAACTAAGATTCGTTCTCGCAAACTACGTCTGAAGTCACCCTGACAGGAAAACTATACATCAGTCATGTCACCCTCAAGTAGGGACTAAGCATCTTAGTAAATGCTTAGCACTTCTGGTCTTGAAATTTTAATTTTAATCACGTGACAATAATATGTTTTATGTTTTAATCGCAACATCCAGGGAGAAAATGGCCCTAACACATTCTTTGAGACAAAAACATGGTTACGCAGACATTGCTTGCGTCAGCTGTAGGAAGGTGCGCAGCTGTTCCACAAACCAAGCCTCATCATGAAAACGAAGCAGGCCATTTTCCAAGTTTCCAACATATATAGAGCAAACAAAAATTTTCTGGTTGCGTAGCTGAGCCTCATATTACCATTCGGAAGCATCTCCCAGGTGAACAATCTCCACTTCGAAACCGACCAAGTTGAGGTAGCGTTTGTCATATTTGTGACAAAATTTGTGGCATATTTTTGCTACTTCTGGTAATTCAAACTGAGACTAGGACTATTTGGTGTTGATAGCTTTGCAATGATTTGTTGTAAACAATAACATGAAGGCTCTTCAGTTTGTATCATTAATAAGAAGGTCCCGTATATCTTTTGAAATACTTCGCACGTTCTAGTTTAAATTCTTTAGGATTATTCATGTTTTTGGCTTTGAGAACAGAAGCACAGCCGTCGAGTCAATAAGACAAGAGACAAGGTCTCTTCAACTGATTTGAGCTTATCAACTCAAAGATCATTGCAGGCGCCACAAAACAAGATGCAGCCTGTAGGCATTTTCAAAATTGTCACTCTTGTGCTTTCCTTGATTGGATACTCATTAAGTAAAGGATAAAATACAATATGTTAATATGCTAGCGATATTTGAGAACAGAAATAATACTCCATCATTTGTTCATCGTTCGAAGCAGTGTGACACAGCAGCGAGATATATTTTGACGGTTTATGATTAGCAGAATTATTGAATTACTTCTAAAATATAGAGACACATAAGTATTGCTATTATTCCTCCTCTTCACTCTACTGACTTCGACTTGCTTCTGGAAGCCAAATGTGGGTCAAGAGTAGCGTGCAAATGTTGACAGTATAATGTTGCCTTATGACTGCTTATGCAATAGGAAGAATGCGTTTTGTTTTGTCCGGTTTTCTACAGAACGTCGAGGCAATATGGGCGGCACTCTTGCCTAAGCTTGTTGACCAACGACCTGCTTATAGCTAAATAGCGATTTATATTTCCGTAAATGTGTTTGGGTAGCGAAATTTCAAATCACATCCAAGGAATCTGTTTGAACCCGTTGCACTTCTATTTTACCGTACATCCAGTAGCATTCGGATGCAGATCGCACAGAAAAAGCCGGTTTCAGTAACTATTTACTTTGGCTGACCTTGTTGCGGAAGTAATCTTCTCAACAGAATGATAGGAGTGGTTTGTAGTTACATACATCCAGTTGGCTGAAAGCCAGGATAGCCTTGCCGTGGTTGCATGTTTTCTAGAAGTTACTGTTAGACATTCTGACCATTGCAGCTATGTATTTTACTCCGCCCCATGCTTACCTTTATTTCAATTGCCGGCTAATAACACGCTTCATCACTCACAACGACTTATACATGAAGTAACAAATTTGCAGAAATCACTGCTTACTACTAATAAGAATTCTCATGGGTACTGCTACCGATTTTTGTTTCTAGGTAATTGACAAAATGTTTCAAATATTTAGGAGCGTTTTCAGTGGGCCTATTCTAGTAACAAATTGAATACTACAAGGTTATCTATCTAAGTATAAAAGCTGTCTTGTGCTGCTGAGGATAGAGTCGATATATCTGATTGTGTAGTTACGGCGTGTTTCTGAAATGAAATGGTTTACCTCAGTTGAAAATACCTAATGGTTTACTAGGGAAGGTAATGCCAAATGAGCATAACGATTTTTCGACCGTGCAACATACCGAGGTAAAATATGATAGGCAACACAATTCTTTGGAAACAATAAGAAGCATTCAAAGTGTCTGACTTCTAATGCACAAAAACTTTCAGGAAAAGTTAGGAAGTCCGTAACTTTCCTGCCAACTGGAAAAATCTGTGGAGGAATTTTACTCACGTTTAACCTAAAAGTCGGCCAAAATGGCATCCGCACTATTTTGGGGGGTTAATATTTCTTTCCACTTCCATATTGAGAAAACACTGCCTCAGCCATTACAAGTAGTAGTACTTTGCAAAAATACAGTTGGACATGCACAGTACTAGTGCATCTGTATTAGTTTGCATGCTGTGAAAGGTTTGCCTTCATATCTTCCCTTTTACACTCTTATATCCCTTGCGCACATTTTACACCTTTAAAATTTTTGTTGTAACGCTGTCTTAGTCCTCACTAATAGATCGACTGAATTCAGATTACCTAAACAATGGAAAGGGATGGTCAATGGTCTAAATAGGATTTATTGGTTTTTTAAATGGGTTGTATTTCTGAGATTATTGGCCCATAGACCGACTGAGTAACCATCTTCTACGGTTTTCTATGCGAATTTGGCCTTGAGCTCACGTCGACCCCCCATAGGAGCAATCTTTTTAGAGATGACTGTGTTCTGCACTTTTGCGGCGGAATGGATTGCCTCGTAACATTTCCCACACCACTCGCCATCAATAAACCGGCATTTTTACTCCAGTAGCCACTAAAATGCAATTGAGCTTGGATAAAATGTCTGTTTATTTATATTCATTTATATAGAGATGTGATATCCAGAATAAATGTAACTATTTTCGTGGGTGTAAATGATCTCCAGTCCCTGGGCTTGGCTAGTCGACTCTAGCATTCTGAATGAAACATTCAGGACATACGGTCTAAGCAATGGCATGGCAATCTGAATTATTTGGTATATTTTTCAACTCAAAACGGAAAGCGCCAACAAGTCTCACTAAAATTGTTGGAAATTTTTACTTGTCCCGGCGTATTATTGTGCTTTGAGTCAAAATGTTGCACCTCGTTTTATCACTTAGTATCGTATCCAAAATGAAACATCTCTCTTGTTTTTCACTCTATCTCAAGTGTCAGGTAAAATTCGAATGATAATCCAGCATGCTCCACATCATCAAACTGGTGTATTTGTAGGCTTTAAGTTTAACAGCGTTTGCTTCAAAACAGTAGCTTCAAAGTTACAGAAGCGTTAAGCCAGCGTGGTAGCGGTGAGTGTTGCAGCCAGGTAAATTTTATCAAGCACTCTGGACTTTCTAAGTAAGCCTAGTATGAAAAAAGAGCACAAAGCTTATTTTTGTTACCTGACTAAATGGAAAATCTGATAGAAAATAGAACCTGCACGCAAAACAGAGCACCATTTACAGTCTAAGCGGTTTTAACGCTCACTGACTTCAGCCAACCATACGTGTTTAGAGGCAAACTCAACGTTACACAGCAGCATTGCATTGATACGTATACAGCATACCAAGCTGTTTGTCAACTAACCTTGTTATTAGACGAAGAAATTCATTTTCATCTTTCCTCGTCCATGCTGCCTTTGTAACCCCAAACCGTATACTCAGCTTGGTCCATTCAAAGCATCCAACTATCTAAATCTCAGCCATGTTGCTATGACACTTTAAAATAGCGGCACATCGACCATGTTTTCTTGTTTTTCGTCCATGAAGCGTTGTCCTCTTGTAAATAGGGCATTGAAAGATGAATGGGAACTGCACCGAGTTAGTCAGAAAGAAAAGTAACCGCAGGTTACGTTACTTAAGGTTTGTTTGAATCAGTATTAAAACAGCTTAAAACTGACACCTTTCCAGACATACCGCTGAAGAACAATGTGCACAGCCACGAGGTGCAAAATCTAAAATCGGATTCTTGTTGTTTTTGAGCAAATTCACTCAGCTGTCTTCTCAGGACTAGCTCTTCTTTAAAAGTTACCTATTTGGACAAAGTATTTAAACAAGCTGTTAGAATTTATTCTCCCATACTCTACTCACTAAGGGCATTTTGAACAAAGTTGGTAAGAAATTCCACCTTTCCAGAAGACAGCTAGAATACAATGATGCCTAGTATTTATATCTTCAAATTAGCCTGTTCCATGGTTTTTTCATCATTTGGCAACAAAAATTGGTCCCTCTAAAGAAAATTTATGATCTGGTTGCCTGGTTGGGTTATTCAGTTGCCAACTCAAGCATGCAAGCTGCGGGTTACCTAATTGCTACGAGCTTCGACGATATATT